TGATACATCTGTAGTGGGAAGGGAGTTAAATCAACTTAAGTTAGTAATTTTATGAGTGGTTATTTTCCTTAGTCATTTTAATAATCTATACAAATAAAATATTTATCTGTTTTTAGACAAAATTATTTCCCAAGCAACAAATGTAAGAGTCTGAGTTGAAATCATTAAGAAATCTTTCTGTGTTTAGTACTATGAAAACACTACCTTCATAAGAAACTAGTCTAAAAAAAAATAATATTAATGAAAACATTCACTTCACTTATTTCTGGAATATAAAAGTTTTGGATTTACATTTTATCTGCTTTCTTCTTTTTCTTCATGGATGTGTCAAATATTTTTTTACAAGGCCAAATTTCCTGCTCCCTCAGCAACCTCAACCTTTCATAAACCTTTGTATCAATATTATCATTTTGAATTCATTTCATAATTTCCTTTTTTGTTTTTTAACTTTTTTTCTTTGTTCAATTTAGCATCTGAATCCAGGCTTGGCAATTGGACAAATAAAGAAGATGTTGGCTTTGTATAAGAAAGGCACAGAAGCACAAGCTGCCCAAACATGATTGGTCTGTAGACATCAAAGAAATATTTGTCTTAGTAATTGGTTTTAACAGTAATTAGAAAATTTAGATTGACTTGCACACACACATTTTGATTGTTTTTACCTGTTTTCTAAGGGATTAATGTGTGAATTACAAGGTAAAATTGTAAGAAGACAATTCTTAAAATTTAAAAATATTTTCTGGCTTTAAATAACCTGCAAAGGATTGATAAGCTGTAAAAAAAGAATGAATCAATCCATATTGCAAAAATTTCTACTGCAATGTATTTTCTTTTTTTATTTACACTATTTGCCTTTTTATGGCTGTTGTCCTTATCTTTGTTGACATATTCACGATATTTCAGCCATTGTAGCTCCGACCTTCTTCAGGTGATTGGAATTTTGAACTGAACTCTTTATTTCGTCCACTGGGGTGAATTGTTATAGTTCCACATGACATGCCTCTTCCAGATGTCTCAGTTATCTCCTTTTGACACAGCGCTCCAAGATTTTGTTAACTACTGCAGTAGCCAGGTATTGAACTCATAACCCTTTGGGTAACTCACTGGATCCAACAAATGCTTTTATCCACTGGGCCATTTATATATATATAATATTTTTAATATGAATCAAAAATTGTGAAAGTCACCATAATCAAATCTTTTATGATCCAACAGTAGGAAAATGTGTAGAAAGTCTGTTGATTGCTTATTAGATTCTATCTGTGTATTGAACTCATTTGCATATTTCTTTGTCATCTCCATGCACAACATGGCAGTTGTTGATGGAAACAGGATTCTGTAATAAGAAGTTTGTAGAAATAATATTTTTAATTGAATCAAACCCCATTTTGATGATTTTATGAAATAAAACAATTGGGGACTAAAAATATTTTATTTTTTTTTATTTTAAAGCTCCAAAGAAATTAAATCAGTTAACATTTTATTTAAAACTTCAACTGGTATTATAGAAAAGAATTTTTAAAAAAAGTATAATAATTTAAAATTCTTTCATTGTCCTTATTTCCCATGGACAATTCTGGAACATTCTTTTTAAATAAATCTGTTTTGTAACAAGTGAGAAACAAAGTTTATCAAAATTCGTTGAAGTGGAAATTGCTTACAGAAAATTGCAAGTTTTTGTTTTAATATCTGCAGAAATTGTGTAATTAACTTGCATGGAAGATCCTTAAGAATAATAGAAATATTTTTTCCTTTTTCTCAACTTTGATACTTTTTAACATATTAATTGCACCACCACAAAAATACATAAAATGTTTTTATCATTTTCAGTCATCCATATTTTTATACTCTTCTGTCATAAAAGATGGAGATATATAATTTTGTATGAATAAAATACACAAGTTTTTATCACTTTTGGTCATCCATATTTGAACACTCTTGAGATGCTCTGAAATCTAAGTGACTCTCATCAGTCATGAAGTAATTTTGGATGAAAAAAAGAAAACATTAAGATGTTTTTTTTCTTTTTTCAAAATTAATTTTTTGCTATTTTCTTTCAATTCAAACTAAAATTTAAACCTCAAAGAATATATGTAAACTATTGCAGTGCATTTTAACCCAAATAACAAAATGGAAGAAAAATATCCTATATTACACATGTTGTCCTTCAAAAAGACTTCTTCCTATTAAATAATGGTTTTATTGATAGAATCATATTTTGTACAGGCAGGGAATGAAATACAACAACTTTTGCTAAGAAATGCTAAAGATTCAAGGATGCTTCAAATTTTAAATGTTTTTGGCAACTGACATGCCTAGATGCACAATCTAGTCTACCTAATTCAGCTTCCTGGTGTTTTTGTTTTTATTTAAGGGCAGAACAAGAACTTTTTTCCATTTTTGTCATTCAGTTACCCACCATTAGTATGATATACAAGGTCATATCAAAAAGTATCTGCATTATTTCTATGGTAACTGAGCTAAGGTATGCAGAGAGAAGCTGCTTGGCATATATTGACCATGCACTCTCTTGAACATGCACACTAAGTTATAACATTCTCACTCACTTCAATTGTTTATAGCCTTGCTTGGATGGAAAGTCTGTAGAGATGGTTGTTTCACCAGACCACAGAAGTTCTATCAGTGACCATTTATGTGCAGCAGTTTTTAGCCAACAACAAAATTCCCCAGGTCTGACAGTGACTATATTTCCCAGATCTCACTCTTTGCAACTTTTTTCTCTTTAAAAATTCAAATCCCACTTGAAAGGAACAAAATTTCAAGATGTTGAAGAAATCTGAGAGAATGGGATGAGACAGCTGCTCACTATCCCAAAATAGTAGTTTCAGAAATGCTTCCATCACTGGAAATGATACTGGATAAGATGTGTAGTTTCAGAAGTTACTACTTTGAAAGAGATTAAATGAAGAATTGATATGTGTTGTATTTTTTTTTTATTGCACAAGCCTTGATATTTTTTCATTAGACCTCGTATATATATATATATATCTATATATATATCTATATATATATATATATATATATATATATGGTTGGATTGATGTGAGTTTTGTGACCTAGGTTTAACGCTGACAATCACAAAAGCGTGAAACCCAGGGTCACAAACTCACATCAAACTCAACCAAATATGTTAGCTCTATCTTTGATATTGAGCGCTTTCTAATAAGTACCACGCATATAATATATAAATAATTATATATATATATATATATATATATATATATATATATATATATATATACACACATTTTCATATATATATTATATATATATAAAATCATATTCTCTCACATTTTAATTTGAAGAAAGAAAAATGGCAATGGAGATACCTACCATATGAAGACCAAGAACTTTTGTAATTTCTCTTGGAAAATCAGTCACTAGTCCAAATAACCAAAAAACTTTGGTGATTGGTTAATTTGGACTTGTTTTGCATTCAGTCAATTTTTGTTGATTTAAATGCATCATTCACTTGATCGACAATTATAAGCAGATGTAAGGCTTTTCAGAATTTCACTTGAAGTATATAGAGCTGATGATGAAACTGAAAAAGTCCAACTGGAAAAAAAATCCAGTTGAATGTTTTTGATGTCATGAGTATACAATGGCTGAAACATTGTGAATATGGCAATAAAGATGAGGACACCAGTTTGAAAGATGTAAATAGTGTAAGTAAAAAAATGACTTATACCGTATTTACAGTATGTAAACCCTAGTAATGTACAGCATATAGAGCTGATCTTCAAATTTGTTTTACTATATTTGGGCCAATGGATAAAAGCGTTGGTTGAAGTAATTAAGTGACTTAACCCAAAGAGTTGTGAGTTCAGTACCTGGCCACAGTAGAAGTAAACAAAAACTTGGAGAGTGAGTTACTAAAGGGAAATAACTGATACTGAGTTATCCATAAAAGGCCTGGTATGTGGAACTAGAACAATCTATCTCAGTAGAGAAATAAAAGGTTCAGTTCAAAATTTCAGCATATATCACCTAAAGTAGGCTCGAGCATTCAACGTCCAAAATGTTGTGAATATGATAATGAGGACTACAGTCCGAACAATATAAATAGCATAAAAAGTTACAATATAGACAGATAATGTAGAAATAAATTAGAAATGTTACAGTTGGTGCAAAAGTGACATTAAAATTATGTGAAGGTGGATGACACAAATCCATTACATGCGTTGCATGCCTGGAATAAGGGTCAAGTACAATTTCTTTTTGTTTAGTGACCGGACCATTTGAATGGACCTGGGTTGTTAACTGAGGAGTGGCTGCATCAAAATATTTTTTTCATTTCTTTTTGGAAATTAAGAAAGTTGCTGTAAAAGTTTTTTTTATGAGTGAATAAAAATAGATATTTTTTTTTTAAATTATTTATAAAACTTGTTTTTCTTTTGTCTCGTCATGACAGTTAACATGTTTTAAAAAACAATGTGGATTGATTTATTGGATCTCAATAAAGAATTCAAAGAATTAATGCTTTTTGATTTGGAATATTTTGGTCTTGTGATTCTAAAAGGGTGTAAGTTGACACATGTCCCTTTTTTTGTCTGTTTTTCCATTTCTGAAATGAGTCAACAAGAATGACATAGACAATATTTGATGCAAATACCTTTTGTGAAGTTAGATACCAATTTTTAAAATATCATATTTCACAAAAAGTTTATATGAAGTTTTTTTTGTCTACCTTTTCTTATTTCACGAGAATGTGTAGGGTAACAAGTCAGAGAGAGTGCCAATTTCAAATTCCAGATTTGTTACATCCACTTATGTGCTGATAACCTTCTAAAAGGTACAAATCCATCTCCTCCTCACCAGCTTTGGGTTAAATAAATGACTGTTTTGGAATTACCAGATTCTGTAAGTTTGGATTTTCAGGTGGTGTAATGGCTCGGAATTGGAAATCGAAAAGCAGATTGATTTATTGGAATGTAACAATGAGTTTTCTATGCCCCACCTCCCACAGTTACTAGGGCTTATGGCCATATCACACTGAAACACCGGTTCTCATATGATCACTGAAGTTATGCAAGGTAGAGTCTGGTCAGCACCTACGTGGGTGACCATTTCAGAATACCAGTTGCTGTAAGCTTGGATGTGAGGCTGGTTTGATAGATAACAGCACAGAATTGAAAATCAAAGAGCTGAGTTCCAATTCCAGTTCAGTTCTTTATATTCAGAAATGCTGTTGAGAAAGGTACGAATCCACCTTTTCTGCCCCCAGCTATGGGTTAATTAATAAGACATGTATCAGGAAATAATAAATATCTCCATAACAATTCTTACAATGTAAAAAAAATACTAGCTTTAAAAAAAAGTTTGATGAGCCATAAAAGATAAATCAATGAATCAAATAAAGACACCTCATTTCAATCCCATAGAGCACCTTTGGGATGTGGTGGAAAAGGCAGATTTGAATTCTGGATGTACAGCAAACCAATTTCAAAGAATTGCAGGATACCATAAAGACACTATGGACACAAATTTCGAAGGCCTTCTTCCAGAACATCGTTGAATCCATACCAATGAGAATTGATACAGTTCTAATGACAAAAGAAGATTCAACATAACACTGGAAATGTGTGCCTATATATTTATTTCAGTAAATCAATAAATTCATAACTGATATAATGAAAAGTGCAACAAACATTTAGTTTTCATCATAGTCTCCTTCTTTATTAGTTTGCTTTATTCTATGGTGAATATTAATTAAAAAGGTCGAACATTATAGAGTCAACACAGGACAGTATAAAGACCTTTCTTCTGGGGCTTCTAGGTTAATGAAATTATGGGGGCCCCCTCAGATGGAGCCACCCTCACACCCACCTTAAATATTTTTCTGAAAGATAAAAACGTTTTATAAAATAAGCAGAGCGTCTATTCAAATATTGTCATCCACAAAAAATAACATTTAAAGTAATGAAAAAATTAAATATATCAGCAATAAAAATATTGTTGGCATTAAGCACAACCCTTTGAGGCTGATATACCACAAACCAAAACAAACCTATATATATATATATATATATATAAGTTGTAGTCACTGTCTGTCTGTTATCAAACTCCTTCTAGGGTTTTGGAGATAGACCCCATAATTATATATATTCTGGAACTACATTACCCAGGGTACTTGGATAAGTATATTTCATTTTGATCAAAGTGGGTCCCCCCCCCCCACTGAATTTTTTTTCCCTTTGATTTAAATAAAATTTAAATTTGAACAAGGGAATGACTCCTATCCAAAATATAGAATGAGATAGCCAGAAGATGAAGGTCAGATCGGCAAGATCGTTGAGTAATATTGAAAGCATCATTTTTGTCCACAAATTATAACAATGATTTAAAATTAATCATCATTTTCTTACGAAAAAATGTGTGACACGCAGCAAGGCGCGGGTAATTTGGCTAGTATGTTATAAAGTTCGTATAACGCTCGTAGTTCTGGTTACTGTAAAGAAACCCTGGGACAAAAAGTTGAGTAAAGAACAGGTTTAATCACATGAGGGACATGAATTAATAATACACTAATAGAGAATACTGTAGTTCCGAGCCGGTATTTCGTACGACCCAAACGCTACGCCTTGCGACGACGGTTCCTATGAGCAGACTTTTTATTCATAGCGGATGGACTTGTCTACCATTTGGATTATAGTGCAAACAGGACCTACGTTTACCTTTTTGATTCTCGTGTAAACCAGACCGAGGTCTACCTTTTTGACTATTGCGTAAAGCCAGGTGTATGTCTATTTATCTCTTAATTCAGCGTGATATTTCAGGTTTAGAAAATATTTCCTCCTTAATTTCAACACTAATTAACTTTTCCACTTACCCGTGTCAATCTAAGATGAAGTTTTTAAAATAAAATATTAGTGAAAATGTTATTTTCATTATAAGATCTGCATATATGTAAGACACTTCGCACATTCCCATCCACTTATACGTGTACATAGTTTACTCGCAGTTTCTTCTTCAATTTTCAGGTCGTTAAGTGAATTTCATTTTCTCCAGGAAATCCGTTCATTGTTCAGTTTGTTCGTTTTGTGAACGGTTCGTATTTGATTACTCTCATTGTACGTTTTGTGAGACAGTCTGCGAGAGAAAGAGGGAGAGGAGAAAGAGAGAGCGAACGGTTCGTATATGAGTACTCCCATTGGCGAAGATAAGTTTTCATTTGTTTTTCTTTTCATATCCATTTATATATATATATATATATATATATATATATATATATATATATATATATATATGAGTACAGGTAATCAATCCATTGATATATAATCCGGGTGGATCCTATTGTAGACTCGTCCTTTTTCCTTACTTTTCAACCCTAGCAAACAGAACAGTCTATATCTTACGCCTACATACGGAAAACTTCAACCAATTAAAACTGCACTAAGCGAAACAAACAATCTCATTGGTTCATCACTGAAAGTTCAACGAAATTGCGCCAAAACTCAAGTGAGCCACCTTCGGACTGTCAGGCCTTATAAAAATAAACGCTGACCGCCCCAGGCAGTCAGTAACAAACACCCACAGAGAACTTGCCAAAATACTCCACGTCACTCTAAATCACGATTTCCCGCGCAAAGATACATCATAGCTAACTCATTTCCCGATCGAAAACTTAATCAACTCTGTGGATACAATTCTCAACATTGCTTATCTAAAGTGAATCATATTCGCAACTTATTAAGTAAACATCAACGTGCGAACGACCTTAAAAAAAAACATTACATTACAGTTAAAGGTAGATCACTCTTAAAAACTCCTTCTAAAAAAGACACTTAATATCGACAATTATTAATATCAACACAAACTTAAAAAGACTGTAAATGAACGAACAATTACAAAGAGAGACATTCTGGAATCAAAAAACCTCATACACATTTCGCCAACATAACATATATCAATTATCCTGTTTGTATATTGTTTTTGAATGTTATATTAATTTCTAATTGAATATGTCTCGTACTTAATCGTATTTTAAATTTCGTTTATTTATTTGTTGTGGATGCAGAAAGTCACGCAACCTACACAAATTCTTTCTGATTCTTTCAAGCATAATTAATAAATTCTGCACGTCCCCAACACTAGTAATATTAATTATTAAAACTGATCCACAGAGAGCTCGATGTTATTATTTTAATAGAGCATATGTATTTTTTACAGAAAACAAAAAAACAAAAATTACCTCAACATTAGAGATAGTCTATTTCAAGCCGTTCTGTTCGCGGCTATCATCAGTCTGTAAATGTTTGTCTCAGAGCATTGTTTTAAATTTATTTTCTATGTCAGCCCTCTTCTGGAGATATAAAAAGTATAGTCTATTAGTAATTAGAAGTAGGAATAATATTTTAAAATTGTATACGACGTACTCATATTCAAACAAACCTTTTGGAAAAAAAATCTTTTTGTATACAATCACAAATTTAGCGACAAAACAAGAGTGCCGAAAACCTTTTTGTCAGTGAAAAAAAAAACAGACGACATGCAAAAAAAGGATGTCATCCTTTGTTGAACAGGCACCCCTACTCTACCTTAACTTAACCTCATTTCAAAAGTAACTCATATTTTGATACAATAGTTGTCAGTGAAAATGAATACACTACCACCATTTGTCAAAATGATTGAATTTTCCCGTATCCTTAGAAACTAATATTAAGAATGTATGTGCTTATAAAACTCAGTAAATTTCAAAATAAGTTATTCCAAAAATTCGCTTGAAAACGAAACAGTACTAGGGATTTTAATTTAATTCCATTATTAAATTTGAAGATTTAGTTTCTGTTTTTGAAACATGGTAATTCCTGTGTAGCGATGGAACCATATGTATAAATTAGTAAATTTATAATATTTATGCTCAGCAGAATTGTATTGAGTACTGTTTTTTAAAAATAAAAATCTTACTTATTATAAAACGCAGATTGTGTGTGTGTGTGTGTGTGTGTGTGTGTGTGTGTGTGTGTGTGTAACGTTTATATATTGGATCGGATTTCCTACATTTTTCAACTGATTTCAACAAAACTTCACAGGACTACATAAAATTACATTGTGGTGGTTCTAACAGCGCCCAAAATGGGAAAAATATAATTGTTTTTGCACAAAATCAATTTGAAAACACGATTAAGAGACATCGTGAAAATGGAAGGGGGACAACTCACATCGGGTTGTTTGTGTGTGTGGGTTCCTTTAAATATGAGAGCGGATTTCCTATATTTTTCAGCCGATAAAACAAAACCTCACTTTTTTTTTTTTTTGGCAGGTAGTGTTTCTTATTCTCTTGCACACTTTTTTCTTTATTTTTAACATTCAGAATGCTTTAAAAATTCCATTTACAAGACAATTATTTATAATAAAATTCTATTCCATCGGGAGACTCATAACGATTGAAAACAATGTTTTTGTTTGAGTTTGGGTTTGACCAATTCGTAAAAATTAAAAAAACTAATTAAGACATGCGTGTCCGTCAACCTTAAACAATAATCTTTGTCAATTTTATTTTTCAGTCTTTATGATGGTGGATACTTGATCTATCTCTTACTGTTATATCCCCGGGCAACGCCGGCTTCTACTGCTAGTATTTAGTAAGAACACTGGTCTATAAATCTTACTGTTCTATCTCTTTATTTTAATATATATATATATATATATATATATGAAGAAATATAGTCTTAAGATGTGCTATATTTATGGGATAAAGTGCTCAATATCAGAGATAGAGCGTGTGTAAATATAAAAGTGAACATAGAAGTCAACACTTAGAGGCGACAGTCTGTTTTATACTAGACGCAATCGTTCATGCGTCTAGCATGAAACAGACTGTCGCCTCTAAGTGCTGACTTCTATATTCACTTATATATATGTGAAAACGAAAAAAAAAAAAAACAATCTTCAAACACGGCTCTACAAATTTAAATAAATTTTATTATTGAGTATATATTTTCTTTCACATTGAAAGAAATGAATTACAAATAATCTTTGCAAAACAACTTCACACAAAATATTTTTGTTTGTCTTCGTTACAATCCAACCGAATCAATTACGTTAGTATGATAAAAGAAACAGAATATGTAAGAAGAGTGTCACGTAT